GAGAGCCTCCCATACACAAAATCAGTTTACAAGGCAAGACCAGAATCTTCCTTTTAATTTTACCTCTCTTTATCTTTCAATATGCTTTATCACTTATCACTTGCAATGGTGTAAATTAGGAGCAACTTTGCTGAAGTCAGTGAGATTAAACTGGTGTAAAAACAGAATCAGGCCATATAACTTTTTTAAAAATACCCATTTTTTGTGGGATTTTAAAAAGCATTTAGGTGCCTAAGTCCTATTGACTTGCAATGGGACTTGGCACATTGAAAAATGCTACCCTTTATCTATAGATTGTAGCAGTATACTTCTTTCTATCACATACTTGAATTCCACTCCATAACTACTCATTTTTTGCGTATGTATACTACTATCCTGTACAAAAGTGTTTTTAACATGTGATTAAAGTATAGAAACCATTTAAAGAAAAACATGCTACATCAGTGCAATGTCCTACATACAGCTTAGCTTGACTAGTTACAAGAAATTCTGCTCAGGATCATTGCAGATTCAACCAGATCACTTTCAAGGTGACTATGCTGATGAGAAAGACAGACTGGTGATGTTTACATTTTAGTCATAAGTTATAGTATAGTGCTTTAAAACCAAAGTCGTTTTAAAATAATCTTTCTCTCTTTTCCATTTCATTGCTATGTGAATTAATGAAATAACTTGGAAGGAAACCATAGTTATACTAGTGAGATACTATTCTCCTTTAAAGAATCAGGTTTCCATTCACTTAGGACAGTGGTCCCCAAACATTTTACCTCGTGCCCTCCCTTACCCCTGTCCACATCTCCCCTCCCCGCGGAGCTTCAGCTGGGAGCAGGGCCATGTCTCCGGTATGGGGGGATGCAGGCGGGGTAAGGGGGTGGTGAAGCCTCGGCTGCCAGCTGGTGCCCTGGGCCTGGGGCCGGCAGCCGGAGCCCTGAGTCCTGGGTGTGGGGCCAGCAGCTGGAGCCGAGTCCAGGAGCGGAGCTGGGTGGAGCTCCCTCTCTACCCCCTGTGGCCCCCAGCTGCGCCCCCCCCCAAAGGTTCCTCCATGCCCACCTTAGGGGGGCGCACCCCACAGTTTGGGGACCTCTTACTTAGTAACTGACCTAGAATAGTATATTTGCTGCTCAAAAGATCAATTCTACCTATAAGTTTTTAGGTGCAGGAACGGAGTGATAGATAATTGAAATCTGAGGCACTAATCTAAAGCAGTTGGTATTCTGTTACTGGAATTTAACTATTACTCTCTTTGGCTGCTGTGTTTCCCCATCTGTGTGAAAGCATATGTGGTTAACAAATGAACACCCAAAAATCTATAGTTCTGCTCTAAGTGTGGAGTTTGCACATTTTCTCCCTTGGGACTGGCAGGCTGGGTAGGCAGGGGTGGGTATTACAGAAGGACAGAAAGTGGGCAGAGAATTTGGGGGCCATTACAGTCCCCAAAATTTAAACTTCAGGCAGCTGACCAGTCAAGTTTTGGGAGTAGAGAACATGCTCCTCTAATTCATCATTTGTTTTTGGACTTTTTAGTAGGTAGAATAATGCACAAAATGATTAATGGAGAAGGCAGTAGACTGGAGAAGACATTGTGGTTAAGTGAAGCGGGGGCTCTGAAATTTTGTTCTCAGACATGCCAAATAAATGTGCTGGCCCAGATCTTAGAAATATAGGACTGGAAGGGACCTTGATAGGTCATCTAGTCCAGTCCCCTGAATTCCTGGCAGGGCTAAGTATTATCTAGACCAGGGGTTGGCAATGTTCGGCACGCGGTTCGCCAGGGTAAGCACCCTGGCGGGCCGGGCCAGTTTTATTTACCTGCTGACGCGGCAGGTTCGGCCGATCGCGGCCCCCACTGGCCGCGGTTCGCCGTCCCGGGCCAATGGGGGTGGCAAGAAGCGGCGCGGGCGAGCGATGTGCTGGCCGCGGCTTCTCGCCGCCCCCATTGGCCCGGGACGGCGAACCGCGGCCAGTGGGGGCTGCGATCGGCCGAACCTGCCGCGTCAGCAGGTAAATAAAACTGGCCCGGCCCCCCAGCGTGCTTACCCTGGTGAGCCGCGTGCCGAACGTTGCCGACCCCTGATCTAGACCATCCCTGAAAGGTGTTTGTCTAACTTGTTCTTCTGTCATACCTGCATCCAAATCTATACGTGGAGGCTTGGTGGAAAGAGGGGTCAGCTGTGTCCGCATTGCAGTGTCCTCTCTACCCCATACCTTGCAGAGGGGCCTTCATGATCCAGGGATGCAGATTTGGCAACTTGAGGGAGGGAGTGGGTAGGACGGGAGTGAGGCTGAGGAGGTGACACAATTCCTCTTCTTTCTAGCCATATAGATGCCCTGAAAAAGAAACTACGGTCTGAGACTGTAGTCTCTCTTCCATCATGCCAAAGGTCAGAGCTGATGTGAAAGTTCATAGCCACTGCATGGATGGCCCTTTGGCCTCTCACAGGTCTCTGGGAACTGGGAAGCTATCAAATTTAGCAGCAAGTCCCATGGTCTTTTCCATAGGAGCCAAATCCTACCTTCTCTGATGTAACAATAGAGGGAGGAGCTCTGTGAGGGTATCTTTGCAGAGATTTCCCCTTTATTCCCTTCCTCCAAATTATGCCCCTGGGCAGGGTGATCTGGACCGTATTAGAACCCTGTAGTTTTGTATATTTTAACTTTACTAAAATATTTTTACTCAAAACAGGTAAAAATATTAAATTAAAAATATTGGTTTAACTTTTAGGAGTTAGGCAGTTATAAAACAATTGATTTCATTGCCTGCTTTTGCAGGAACTTCAGTATCATCTTACAAATGTGATAGAAATATGTTTTCTTTTCAGTGTCATTGCTGGTACTGTGTATTGTGCTAAACACAATGTTACTTGCACAGTATAGCTGACAAAAATGACTCAACTAATAGTGTGGCCTTAACCATTCAGTTCACGATTCCCAACTTTACAGTTCACAAATCCTAATCATTTTGCACGCTGCTGGACAAGGAGGTCAAATCTCTGGTTACCAATTTAGAGCAATGCAATTTTGTCAAGATTACAGATCACCACTAAGTTGCTAAACCACTGGTTATTTCTGATAGCTAATCTATATTCCAATAATATACATAATATATAGTGAAAAGAATGGGTGCTGAAAATAAAAAGGATGTGTTTTGAAGTCTCATTGCTTCTAGATAACTTGTGAATACTACTGAGTTCCTTTATTACAGATTACTATATGTGGTACTTAGGGCTGGAGAATTAGAACAGAAGAATGGCCATACTAGGTCAGACCAAAGGTCCATCTAGCCCAGTATCCTGTCCTCTGACAGTGGCCAATGCCAGGTACCCCAGAGGGAATGAACAGAACAGGTAATCACCAAGTGGTCCATTTCCTGTCACCCATTCCCAGCTTCTGGCAGAGGCTAAGGACACCATCCCTGCCCATCCTGGCTAATAGCTATTGATGGACCTATCCTCCATGGATTTTATCTAGTTCTTTTTTGAATCCTCCACATCTTGGAGCGCTTGGGTAGGAGGAGCAGAAAAGAATGAGCAGAACCACAGTAAGGTTATTTGCTGTGCCCCTGCCAACTCCTGCAGTTGTCAAAAACACCTTATCATGAAAGTGGTGTAAGACTGAGCCATGTTAGGAGGCATATCTGTCCTCTGACTATTTCCCTGAAGGAGAGAGTCAACTGTTGTGATTAGCCATGTCATGGTCAGGTCTGAATCCTGAAGGAGCTTTTGTGTGTCACACATTGCTGAAGTTGGTTTGCCACCATCTTCACAAGAGTTTTTTATAGGATAGTAAGTTGTGAATCTGGATGAATTCACAGTTATTAGTCTTTCTCAGCAAAAATACTTTGTGTTTAATATGTTTTCCAAAGCCTTTAGTCTTTCAGTATTGGCTAATAACCTATTGCATTTCTAGCATTGGATTTTTTTTTAAAGCTAATAGAGTATAAAAAACCTCAAACCAACAATAAGCACATATTTTGTTAATTTTCTCTTTGCAATTCAGTACTGTGAGCACTGGTTAACTCTTGAATTTTTTTATTTCAACTCCTTTGCTCCTATATTTTTCTTCAGCTTGGTTGAAAAATAGAAACTCCTACGGATATCTAGATAAAATCATCCCATTTCTGCCAAATCCATGCATTCAAAAATCATGAGAAGATGCATATGCTTGTATGTCTGGTAGGGTGACCAGATGTCACGATTTTATAGGGATAGTCCCGATTTTGGGGTCTTTTTCTTATATAGGCTCCTATTACCCCCCCACCCCCGTCCCTATTTTTCACATTTGCTGTCTGGTCACCCTAATGTCTGGGGACAACTGCTACAAAATCATATTTTTTGGAAAGTAAATATTAACTTAAAAAGTCTTTTTGATATTTAAAGTCAGTACAATAGAACCTCAAAGGTATGAACACCTCTGGAATGGAAGTTGTTTGTAACTCTGAAATGTTTGTAACTCTGAACAAAATGTTATGGTGGTTCTTTCAAAAGTTTACAGCTGAACATTGATTTAGTACAGCTTTGAAACTTTACAATGCAGAAGAAATACTGCCTTTAACCATCTTAATTTAAATGAAACAAGCACAGAAACAGATTCCTTACCTTGCAAAATCTTTTTTTAAACTTTCCCTTTATTTTAGCAGTTTACGTTTAACCCAGTACTGTACACTATTCACTTTTCTTTTGTCTTTGCTGTCTGATTGCATATTTCCTGTTCCAAATGAGATGCGTGGTTAATCGGTCAGTTCGTAACTCTGGTGTTCGTAACTCTGAGGTTCTACTGTATCTTGTATTCTGAAGCTATTAAAGATATACATTTACAAAGATCATTTCCAATATTTTGATAATGATTCTGCCAGTTGTTTGCCTTTGTATCCAACAGGTATTACCTGAAAGAAATCCTATTAACTAAACATTACATATTTAGTCTTACTTCATATGTACCATATTTCAATAGCTGTGGATATAACTGTGCTAATATATGTAACTTATGTTCATTTATTTCAGATTGTACATACACACAAGCCACACTTCATGGCTTTACATTGTCAAGAGTTTGGTGGAAAAAACTATGAAGCTTCCATGTCTCATGTGGACAAGTTTGTTAAGTAAGTAACTGGAAAGGTGCATTTCTATCCTAGTATATGATTTATGCTTGGAAGTATAACAAATATTAATGGATAACATCTTATCCTGTAAGGTACTGAGTGCCCGTAAGTCCCATTGACTTAATTTCATAGAATTGGGCCAATAGTCTTGTGAAGGTACGCTAATTTGTTGTAATACAGCTATGAATCTGTAGGGAAGTCCGGCACAAATTTAAGGCTTCATTTTAAGTCAAGAGTCTCTGTACTCCTTACTGTATACTTAGATGTGGCATATGTTTTTTTCAGAAGCACAGTACTACTGTTTTTTGAGGAATGTGCTGATAACCTCTACGTATCTGAGAATAAAATCTGGACCTTGGATCATTTGTTTTCATGCAGCAATTTCAAGTTTGCCAATATACTTTCGCTTCTCAGTTAGCCTCTACACAATTAAATATCATTTTTGTTATCTTTTTTAAATTATTATTATTATTATTATTTTTATTTTTTTTAGTAACTAGAGTCTGGCTCTTCATTTTGTGGTTGTTGCTTCTATAAGAGGAATAGTGAAAAGTAGTTGCAGTTTGTTGAAGGCCAATTACCTCTGTTGAAGGTAATTGGCCTTTAATATGAGGCATGGTCTGCACTTAAAAGTTAGGTCAACACAGCTAAATGGATCGAGGTGTGAAAAATTCAGATACAGCTGAGGGGAGAACATGTTCCCTATGAAGAGCTGGGCTGTCATTAAGGTGGAGGAACCTTAATGAAGCAGGAACATCAGGGAAGTCCGTGGGAGAGGCTGAGAAGAGTCCGCAGGGGGAGAGGATGCCGTGGGAACCTGCTGGGGTAAAGGAGCCTCAAGGGAGAAAACCCTGGGAGGCAGTGCTTGGCTGAAAGAGCAAGGAAGAAAGTTTCCAGAAGCCAGGAAATAGGGACAAAGAGCTCGCAGAAAGGGTGTCCAGAAGAGGGGCCAAATTTTTGAGTACAGACATAGTGAGACCATTGTTGAAGGTGATCATGGAAAAGGAGCCTTGGTAGTGGCAGAAGATCCTCTGTTTATGACTTCTAGTCTGATGGACATTGTTGGGTTTGGACTCTGAGGATGTTTTCTTTGAACTTGGAAGCCTTGTGCTTGTTTTAATACATGAACCTGGAAAAGGGTGTTATTGAAATAGGGAGTTTGAAGTCCTTATCAAGAACCCAAGGAAGAATATTGCAATGCTGACTCTTGCAACCAGGAAGTACTAAAAGACAGGATGTCATGTGACAGTACGGTTATTTAGTTATCTTCAGCCATTGGCAAGCTCTAATAATTAAACAATTCTATCTTTTGAGAAACTCTTTTCAAAATGCTAACTGCTAATGTATTTTCTTATGCTGCTACTTCCTAGTTGAAATCCAAACTCCTTGTGATAAAAGGTTGAGTCACAGCTGGTGGCATGGAAACCTGATATGAAGGAAATAGAAGGTGAGATAGAGGAAGTGTAAAGGAAGAAAAATTTAAGCACAAATAATTATTAAAAAAAAAACAACAGTATAAGTACTGCAGGTTGAAAAGTTAAAATATTCAATTCGCTGAGAAATTAGTGAACGGGAGATGTCATTTTGTTCTTTCATAATATATTCAACAATCTAATATATTAGGAAGAAACATTAATCATAACAAGTATTAGCTCCAAAATACATACCTAGACTGAGGTAATACCTCAAGCTAATAAACCATGCTAATCTCTTAACCTTCAGCAGTTGCTATTGTTACATTTCCTTTAGAATTTTCCCTATTAATTAGAAAATATACTATGAAAAGACAGTATGAATATATTGGTATTTTAAAATACAGGCCTGGAAATCAAGTAACTGAGTCTACACTCCAAACTCAAAAATAAATATAAAGAATTTTAGGTCAGCGCTTTTTCTGAGCTAAATGATTGTAGGAATGTAACAGTGTTGATGCCAGTGCCATCTGAGGGGATTAAAGACAACATAACCAAAGTTACACTAGTAATAAGTTTATTTTTATCCTCTTTGACATTTAATTTTGTATGTAATGATATAGTGCACCAGAAGATGAGAGAAACTGACAAAAGAATTTCACAAGCCTTAAACTTTGGATGCACTGAGTCAGGGAGGAGTAGTACAGTGCTACTGTCCCAAAATTTGGCTAAGCTTTTAATTATCTAAATGTATAGAATTCAGATACTTGAGATCTTGCATATTTGAGTAATTTAACTGAGTAGCTTTGTTTGCAATTTTTATTTTTCTGTTTTGATAGCTAACACAGTTTTGAGTGGTGACTTTTCAACATGATGAAACCCAGTTATTTTTATTAAAGGGAAGAGGTGCAACATCTAATTTAATGTTGAAACATTTTTCATTTAAATAAAGACAATAAATGCCACAGTTAATGAAATGTAGCCATAATGAGTTCTTTTCAGAAAGAAAATTATGTCCTGAAACCTCCTTGTTCTCAAATATTTGATTTGCTAATAAACCTTAATTGACATTACTGATGTAAATATTGAAGTTGTATCAACATAAGATTTTCAGTTAATCCTCCACCACCTTCAGTACTTTGAAATAATTTGAGGGTCCTATTCCATGGAAAGTAGTCAAACAGTGCCCTCTGCTGATTTTGTTAATCAGTAGTTATTTAGTTAACCTTTTTATTTTAAGTAAAAATAAGATAGCCCTTAAGTTGTTCTTTTATTTATAAAACTGAATTTATTTGCTGCATAATTTTGTGTAGCAGTTCTATTGTTCTTTCTTTTTTTATAGTGGGGCCAATTTTATGTTTCAGTGGATTTGAAATAAAAAAATATAATTTGGAATATGTCAAGTATCAGGGGGTAGCCGTGTTAGTCTGTATCCACAAAAACAACAAGGAGTCCAGTGGCACCTTAAAGACTCCTTTGTGTCTTAAAGTCTTTAAGGAGCCACCGAACTCCTTGTTATAATTTGGAATGAGCAACCTTTATATTGTAAATCATCAAAATGCAAAATTGTTACTATGGATTTCCAGGGCTGAGCATTTTTCTCACCACATTCCCTGCAAAAAATACTTTAATCTTAGGGCAGAGTAGATCCGTGCATTGTTATGGGTTGAAGAATAGAGATCCTATTCTAGGTTATGGGACAGGATTAAAAAAAAAACAAGAGGGAGGGAGAGACCTTCTGGCCCTATCTTAATCTCAGTCATGCTTCAATAGCATGTGTCCTCCTGATTGTCAAGAAGGGCAAGGGGCTGTCCACTCCATCACTGTTTGTATGTGTGATTCCCTCCTTCTGACTACTGTCTGGGGTAAGCAGGAGGGTGGGGTAAGGTTGATTGTTGAATCACATGGCTCTTGCTTGCTGACACAATGCTTCTGGGCTCAGGCCCTTTGAAATTTGTCCTAGGCTGACTGTCATTTAGTCAGTCGAAAGAGCATTCCCTGACATAGCTTCCAAAAGTCTTCTCCTGGAAAGCAGGTAGATGGGCAAAGTCATGTATGCCATTGCTAATAAATAAGGTTAAGATTTTGTCACAGTTATTTTTAGTAAAAGTCACGGACAGGTCACGGGCAATAAACAAGAATTTACAGAAGCCTGGTCCCCATTGCTGGGGGCTGACAGCCCGAGCCCTGCCGCCCGGGGGATGGGGCTGACAGTCCAAGCCCTGAAGTCATGGAGGTCATGAAAAAAATCACAGAATTCTGACCTCCATGACAGATTCATAGCCTTCCTAATAAATAGGGGGAGTAGCTTCTTCAGCTGTGGTGCTCCCACAGGACAGCAATTGCAAAGACTCATTTGCTGGATCCAAGTTCCTCCAACTACTAAAAAGAGGCAGCTTCTTCAAACTTTATTTTTTTTTTATTCTCATGCACTCCTGCCTTAAAAACCTCATGCTGGAGCACCTTAACAGCACCACTTTCAGGGCTGCCAGGTTTTGTTCAACTCTGTGTGTGACATTTTTTGACAGAGAGCAAAGAACTGAGCAGGTGTCAGGGGAAATAAAACCTATTCCCTTTGTGCCTTAGACACAAAGGAGTTTGGCCAGGTAGGGACAGAAGGGATTGTTGAGTGGGAACTGAACTCTGTTGAAAATCCGCCCAAGAGTGCAGCTATCCGTCTGCCAAGTCAGCCAATATCAAAACTGTTTGGCACATCTTCACTTCTCTTTGGGTTTCCCAAGCCTAGAGAGCAGCCTGCCACGGATGTTAGAGCCGCCAGCCTTTGAAGCCAATCATTCTACAGTCAGGTGAGCTGGCCAGCAAGTTTTACAGACTGTCTTCCAGAGTTTGGGAACCTGGAGCTCAGACTTTAAAGCCTGCTGGGCTGGTTTACCCAATTTTTAAGAAACTTTGATATCTTGAAAGTTTGTGGTTTTTTCTCAAGACCTTCAAATAATATAGATGACACTTTGCAATACCATAGTTCTTCAATAGCCTATGTGGAATATATTGGTTGATCTGAGTCCAGTCCTTAGTAGTCAGGTGGCCACATTACAAAACCATCAGTTGTCAGAAACTGGTTCCCTTGTTGACAGTCTCAGCAGAAAATCCAAGAACTGAATGGACATTCAGGCTGAAATACCCTCTCTTATTGGTGCTCCCTTCAGGTTAGAGTTAAGGAGTATTGGCAAAGCAGTCTGAGGAAGATTGAACTGCAGCTGTTTGCACTGTAACTGTTTTGTGGGTAAATGGAGAATTTCAGTCTCCAGGGCTATCAGTGTGACATATATCATCAACACTTACATTCACTTAAAATGTCTTTTTAAAAATGAGAAATAATATGAAATAGGTCCACGCTTTCTTTGATGGGTGTTAGGGACATGTTGAAATATAGTGGATGAGAGTGAAGAGATACAACAGATTTGCATATCCCTTCATATTGACAGTCTTTCATTTATGTGTTTCAGAGAATTGTTATCAAGTGATGCAATGAAAGACTATAACAGAGCCCGGGTTTACCTGGATGAGAACTACAAGTCACAGGAACATTTTACGGTAAATTTCCTTCTTCCATGAGATTAGTTTAATACTCAATTCACTTTTATGTTTGATCTTGAAATTGTTTTATCCTGACTGATGTAAGGATTGGCTTTAGCATCTTCTGTGAGGATGGGGATTACATCTTTTCTAAATATACTGTATGTGGGTAGGAGATGTTCAAATTGATTGTTTAGAAGAACTGTATCTGTTAAAATATTAGTAGAATGTCAGAGTTCATGAAAAGCGAGTTTCTGTATTCTTTTGTGCTGGTCATTGATAGATCATTATACCTCCATTCAAGGAAATGTCACCAGGCTACATTTTGGGATGGTGCCAGACTTGCAGCTTGGTTAAAGGGATTGGCAAACATTGGAAACTTTGTTATGGATCTTGAGTCTGATTCATATGACTGTGAAGGGAAAAATCAGTGTACAAACAAACTTACACTGATATGTGGGTAACATTTAGGTAAATGTGAAAATGAAACACAGGCATAGGAAAGTTCACCTTTTTATCTATAGCGGAAGAGACCATTTAGTGACAGCCTGAATTTATACAATAAACAAACCACAGCCACCATTTTATTGCATGCCTTCCCAGTAGACTATTCGGCCCCACTGTACCTTCTTCCTTGACTGACTGGACCCCTCCCTTCACGCAAGTAGCCTATTTTCATCCATCATAGCCCATCCAATATTGACTTATCTTTTTTCTAGATTGTTTCTCCAGGGTACAGTCAAGGCAATCCTCCTCTTTCTTCTCAGGGCCACTAGCGTTAATCCAAAATGTGGTGTTAAAGCAAATTTTGTACTGACAGTTTTGCTTTCCTTTGCTGATGCTGCTGGTGTGTTGTACTCTCCTTTATGCTTCTCTGTCAGCAGTTGGTCAGTCCACTCTCCCTTGTACTCCTCAAAGCATATTTAATGAGCTTATGTAGTTGAGTCACTTAACTGCTGACACACACAACTGTCCAGCTGTATAGCTTGTTCTTGTTCTTCAATTCTTCATATTGTCAGTCAATCAGAGGATCCATAATACGATCAAATATCCAACAACTTTAAGTTCAGTTTGCATTACTTAAGTGTAAATGGCAGAAAGTGACTTGGTGGATAGGCGAAACCAGTCTAAAATTCTTAGTGGAAAAACTGAAGTGCAACCCTATGTAAATATGATGTGGATTTTTATATCGATGTGACCTATGCTTGTGGTGTTAGTTTTAGACAAAGGATTAGGGAAGGACTTGTGTGATTACTTTCCATTGTATGCAGTCTTAAGAGACTGAACCAAGTAACAAAAACAAAAACAAAAGTCCCCTTACTATTCCCTGCCCCCACACACAACAACCTAAAAACCCAGAAAAGTGAGCGAGAGAGAAAGAAATTGATTCACCTTCATTGTAGGCTTTTTTTAACTTGTCACTTGTTATAGACCACTTACTGGCACTTTGTATCAAGGAATCTTGTACATAATTTCAAAGACTACTATCACAAATTAAAGATACATTTTTTAATAATCATAATTTGAACTAATAAGAGACTTGAGTCCTGAGCTTCTAGTCTTTGAATTCATGCACTGTCTGCACTAGATAAAATCCCTTTTGAAAATCTAACTACTAAGTTGTGACCATTTAGGGTAAAGTTTTATTCTTATCTTCAGTGTGGCTTGGTACTTTCAGGATGTTATTCATCTCCCCAATTCCTCATTAGTTTTGTTTCTGATTGCAAAGGTCTTTAACTTGTGTGGTTTTTTTCCATTCCTTCTAAGGCATGGAGTTGGCAACAAATGTAATCCCTAATAATTGTACGTGTGTGTGTGTGTATAAATATACTTATATTATATATCTCTATATCTCTCTCTATATATATCTCATATATATATATATATATATATATATATATATATATATATATAACTTTTTCTTTTTTAAAAAAAGTAAAAGTTCATCATATATGTTGTTGTGAAAATTCTATTTTCTTTAGAACTACAAAAGCCCAAGCATTCACAATGTTGCTAACTTATACCTCTGTTATTCTAATATCCCTTTTCCTTCAGTTTTGACAGTGTAGCCTCTATGGGACTTTCCTTGGCTTGGTTTTTGCAGAGCTAATCCTGATTTTGCTGCCCACAATTGCACAGCATGGCTGCCTCGGAGCGCTGACTCAAGGCTTTGACAAAACACCTTTGGGTAACATGGATCCTCAAAATACACCTCCCTCTTTGCTAGTATAAGGAATGTGGCTTTACTTAGAGGATATGGATATATTTCTTGAATACTGTTTAGAAAGTATAGTGCACTGACAGTGATACTCAAGGAGCTTTTGTGGAGTTTTGGATAGATAGAATTCTACAATAATTCTACTGTATGGTAAACTATCAAAATAGTCCATCTCAAACCCAAACAATCTAGACTAGTGATTGTGCCATCTGCAATTGTGTACCAGGTATGGTGAGGTTTTTGGTTTAAAGACACTTCCCTGCAGTAGCTGTCAGTACCCAACTTGTGAATTCAGATTTAAAAACTTAGTACATTTAAAAATAATTCTCTACAGCTGCAGGGCCACTGTTTAGCCTGAAGGAATTTGATGAACACCTCTACTGCTTCTGCAGCTGACAACTAGACTCTTACCTCCTGTTGGCTTTTGCAGGAAGCATCCCTAAGAATATGAAAAAGGTCAAAGGTGAGAGATAGCATTTGGCAATGGTCATTTGTCTAGATGCAGGGAATTGCTGTGCAGCTTTTCGAACCCTGCTAGAATAGAGCCTGTAGCTAAAATTTCCTCACACAACACTACTAAAAAAAAATCAGCCCTATCAGATTTCAAAATTAACAGTTATATAAAATTTAAAAAATGATGTGAAGATTAATTTCTTGGCACAAGGTAGGACAGCAGCTACTACACTAGGGCTTATGCTTGTCAGCTTTGGGAATATGACAGTGTTAGAGTTAAGAGCTCCCAGCAGTTATGAATGAAGTTTGTGGGTGACAACCATTGAAAGAGTAAAGGTTGTTTCCTAGAAGTTTCACTAACTGAACAGTGCATCAATATTAGTTCAATTGTGACTGGAAGCAAGGATGGGCAAACTGGTTTGAACAAGAACTGACTCACACCTTAGCCTACAATCCTAACTCAGGATTTTACTCGTAGTTTAAAATACCAGTAATTTTTTAAAAATTCTGCTCTTAGTAAATCTTTCATTACACAATCATACAACTGTGGACAGTTTTACATATCCTTTGGCAAATACTACACAATACAATCTAGACATCAGTCCCAGTCTCTACCAGGGTTTGTATAAGGTCTTTATAGGGAGGGTGACGAATGGAGGCTGAGAAAAGGTCAGCGGCAAGGCCATAGAAATACCTATAAGTAAATAAGGTGAGTCTTGAAATTTTTATTGAATTTCTCAAGTTCTTAACGTTTAAATTCTCTGCTATAACTTTAACTGCAATCAGTGTAGTTTTTTTTGTAAAGTCAATAAATTATCAGTCTTCACGCTACACAAATGTTTTGCAGATTGGAAAAAAAAAAGTAAATCTTTTAAAGGGATCTCTTTATTGATATTAGGTGAGGGACAAGCAACACTGAAATGGGCCATGAGGAACATGTTTTCCCTCAACAATTATCTTATTAGTAATAATGGGATGGTTCCATTTTTACGTTGGTTGACTAAATACCAACTAGTAGTCGTCACCATTCAATCAGTTCTGACTTGAAATGCCTCAGACCATGGCAACTTGAGTGACTTCAGTGACAGCTGTATGTATTGCATTAGGGTGGAATTTGGCCCATAATGTCCTTGAGACTGTGCAAGACTACACAATAATGGAGACACTTGATATGTTTAGTGTACACCAGGCTAATTACTGGTCCATTAAAGTGTAGCGTGTGTGGGTGTTTGCATATGTTCTTGGCATGCAAGAGAATTGGTAGTCGATGAAACAAGGCGCTGTGGTTTCTTTTCAGTTTTAACCAGGCAACTCCTTAATTGCTGTGACCTTTGCTTTCTTTGCTCGGCATAAGCAAGGCTACTATGCATGAGTAAATTAGGAAATGATAGTTATAGGGCACACCCATGCCTCTCCCATTCCCTCCCTGCTCCCACATAGAATTTGAAAATTTGTACCATGGTAGCTACAAAATGCCCAACCATATTCCTTGTATGTACAGGAAAGTCCAGTACAAACCATCAGTCTAGCAACACACTCCTTGTCAAAGGTCAGAGGAATGTGAGCAAAGAGTCTGCAGCCACAAATTCAGAAGGTAAGCCTCGTGGGTGGCTGCACTGAAGGCTAGTTTAGCTCATTGAACTATATTAAGTTTCCTCTGATTTGAGGCTTTTTTATTTCTTAATATGTACGTTAGAAAATATTTTTTACTAAAAACTGACAGACAAAACTCCCCAGAAACCCTAAATACAGAAACCATTTGAACAAGAGTATTTAATATTGTGGGAGGAATTTGGGAAGGTGTTTCCCCCCCACCCCCCCATGGGCTAACCCCTACAAAGTCCTGACAGTCTCCCCCCCTTAAGTATAGAACACGAAGGACCTCACAGGGCCTTGAATTTATGAGAGTATATTTTGAGGGGTTGTATATGTCTGTGAGGGTTGTAGCTGTATTCTGGAAGAGGCTTCATATCGGGATGGAGATTTACTGTTGAGTACAGACTTATTTTTTTAGAAGGCATAGTTTTAATAGATAATACAGGATTCTCGAGCACTTAACTGTTTATTATTGGTTAACTGTGCAATAAACCAAACACCTTGTAAAATACACTGTTGGTGTATATATTTATTTATTGAAGAGTCATCTTGTCCCTGTTAAGAGTTGATTGAGTTTTAATTGGTCCATTAAAGTGCTGGTCTTACCTTTAAAAACAAAACAAAAAAACCCCCCGTAAACCACAGTTTTCACAGTGGAGAGAAGTAAATGATGGTGGCATCCCCCGGTGGTCTGTACTGGTACCACTGCTGTTCAACATATTCATAAATGATCTGGAAAATGGGTTAAACA